AGCCCCCTGGAAAAGCCATGTGGATTCCTGGTTCTGGAACATGGATCCTCAGCCCCAACCCTGACCAGCAGGCCCTGAGCGGGGCATAGGAGTCCTGTGGGTTTGACCATGCCCTTGACGACAGCAGTGGCACCCCTGATGTTTGCTCCCAGGACAGTCTTGAGTGACCCAGCTGGTCCTGGCCAGCTGCAGGGAAAGCTGTTCCTTTCTGTAACCCCTAGACAGTCGTCCCTCAGCTTTCTGTCCCTCTCTCCTCTGCAGGCTTCCTAGCAGCTCAGGGTGTCAGGGCCCTACACAGCCTTCCCAGCCCCTACTCCAGGTGCAATGATGCTCTACTCCCTGCTGGCCTTGTGCTCAGTCTGCCCCGCCTCCAGCCCACTCCTGCCGTCCCTCTTCCCAGATGCCTTCTACATCCCTTCAGGTGCGCCCTTTCCGCAAATCCCACAGGCCCAAGATGCCTTCAGGGACCTCTCCCAAACCCCCTTCTCCTCTATTCCAGCAATACAGATGGTTCTGGTCTAGAGCTTATATCTAGGGTTCTTGGCCTGGCCTCCACTTACATCTCAGAAGAGGTCATCTGGGGATGTCATTTTATAAAGCCTTTCCTGTGGGTTCTCATGCTCACCCTGGGATCAAGAATCACTGCTTCAGATGACCGTCATCCTCTTTCAGGCTATGGGAGTCTTCTCAGACCTTCAGCTCACAAAGACCACCTGCCTACCCCACCTGCTTCAAGGCAGGTTGCATGAGCCACACCTTCCAAATGTGTGTTGCCTGACTCACTGACTTGTTGAGGCACAGTGGATCACACATATGTGCTGATCCCTGGTCACTGCCGGACAGTCATGGAGCTGGGCCTGCAGAGGTGCAGGCAGGGGATGACTGAATGTTCAGGTGTCCTGCTGACCTGTGTCTCTGAGTGGGGATTCCACATGCCACCTTCCTTCCAGAATCTTATTCTCTTAGAAGCCAGAGTCAGATGGTGTGTTTTTGGGCTTAAGGGCAATGACATGGCATCACGTGGGCTTCCAGAGCATTCTCATATCCATTGCCCACTTGATTTTCACATACCCTGAGAAGCAGGCAAAAAAGACGAGGCTATCATGGGAAAGGACTTACCTAAAAGCCACCAGAAGCTCACAGCAGAGCCAGGCCTAAAACCAGCTCCTGTCTCTAGTTTAGGCCTCTTCCACCTGGATGCACCCCCTTCCCCTTTCATCTCCCTGCACCCTCCTCAAGTGACAGCACTAACAACGAAGGCCTGGGCCCCATGGGTCAGTGTGTGCCCTCAACAGTGGTGAGCCCGGTGGCCTATTCCTCCTGGAGCAGGAATAAGGAAGGATGACAGGGAAGGTCATGGAAGGCACTGTTGTTCCCTGAGTCCTGAATGTGGCTGGAAGGGCAGGCTAATGAGGCAGCTCCTTTTGGAAGCTCCAGGGACTATGCCTGGGAGGGAATGCCAGGCCCTCAAGGAGCACTCAGGGGCAGAAACAGAATCAAGCCCCATGCTCCAGCTAGGATCTGGCTGCCAGAGGCTGTCTTAGCACCTGAGACCCATCCCTGGGCAACTAAATGGGACACTGTAGCCCTGAAGCTTCTAACAGACAGCTAAGATGCCTTCCCATGCCAGGTTCCCCCTAGCAACTGTCAGTCTCAGCCCAGCCATCCTCCCCAACACTCGCTTCAACTGGTGCGATATTTCAGGCTCCACAGCACAGAGAGAGCTTGCCGAGCACTGGCTCTCAGTGTCCCTGGCCCCAGGGAGGGACAGACTGCAGGGACCCACACAGAAAATCAACATAGCCATCAACCTGAGTAGGGAGGGTATGGGGCAGGTGGAAGCCATGATTGCTCATTAATCCACTAGACTATGAGCATAAGGCTTGAAGTTGGGGCAGATGGGCCATTTTCCTAGTAATTAACAATTTCATAGATGGGGTCAGAGTCACTGGCTGGGTCAGCAGGTTACTCCGATTCTGCCTGATCGGCCCAACCTGTGTGAGCAGAAAGGATGAGTCTGGCAGAGGCCTAGGGTCGTGGAACCCTCTAGAAAGTGCATCTGCCACTTGCTGCACATCCTAATGTGTAAGCTCCCCCCCACAGCTTTCTCTGCCTGCCCCCCCTCTCGCCACTACCCTCTTCAGAACAGGAGCAGATCTAGGCCAGGACCACTCTTCACTGGCTGGGCTGCCTAATTGGTCTCCAGGTGTTTCCGCACAACTGAGCGACTGGTCCCCATGACTCTGACAGGAGAGGCTTTAGCAGATGCAAAGTGAAAGTCAGAAAAAGTCCCTGTCCATGTTGAAAATCTGTCTTGCCAAAAAATAATAGAAAGGATATTCTATAGATCTGACACAGGCGAAAAGGCCCAATTCAAATTTCCAGAAAAGAAAAATCTATTAGGTCAACATAATTGTGTGAAGCCCAGGACCATCCAGGCTTTGCCCAGCCAGATTCCAGGGCATTCATTCTCGGGGCTGTGTTGGGGGAGACGAGCTTGCCTTCCTTCTCCAGTCCTACCAGGACCACTGACGGAGGCTCACCCACAATTCTCTGGCATCCCCCATTCTCCACACTGCTGGCCTCATGAAAACTGGCAATACTAAGCAAGCCACCCCACAACGCCTGTGAAGGGCTACATGGTGCCCACCTGACAGCATAGCGTGAGCCCCCAAAATGGGTGGGGTCCCCTTGCTTGGAGACACACCACAGGGACCAATCACAAATCCTTCCACCTGCACTGCCCATCTCCCTCCAAAGGCTGCAGAGTCCTCCCAAGATCACCGTCAATGGCCAAGGCCTCTTCACCTCCCTGGGGCAGCCTGCTAAGGCCTGGGAAGGAAGCTCTGGCTCAGCCATCAAAGCCAGATTGCCAGCAGAGCCAATGGCCAAGACTTGGAGGATGCATCTTAAAGTTCTTGAGACAGAAAAACAAAGGCGCTTCTCTGCCCTTCTAGGGCACTAAGCTCAGCCAGGCTGCTGGGCTGTAAGACCCATGATGCCACTAGCCTTGCCACTCTCCACTCTCGGAGTTGCCACCAAAATGTGGCCTGTCTGTGCCTCTAAAATGGCAAAGTGACTGTGTGTGGTCTCCTCATTTCCTCCAGCCTCCAATGTGTTTGCAATAAGCAATCAGTGAAATCAAGCCAGGTTCATAATAACTCTAGATGAGGAACGTCCACCAACAGTCAGAAGGGGGTTGGAGCTGGGTGTGGAGAATGGAAAAAAACCATTTGGATTTACATATTTGTCTCCATAGGCCCTCCCACAACAACCACAGGAGGTGACTGACAAGCAGCATGGACAGCAGAACCCCCCAAAAGAGAAAAGTTCCAATTCGCCCAAAGAAATGAGAGCCTGTTCCCGGAGTCGCAGTTAAATCAGAACCAATCAATGCTTGCTCTGGATCCTGCCCTTCTGCTCGGGAAATAATGAGAACATGGAGAGGGCCGCAGCCAGCAAGTGCAGCATGGCAGACCTCTGAAGCCTGGAGAAATCACCAGCGCTATTGCAAGCGCGCCCGGCAGCTGCAGCACCTGCACCTTTAAGAACTCAGCCTAGTGCCCAGGTCCCCACTCAGACACTGACAAATGCCCAAGAGGGCACCTCCTGCCCCACCCCCAACCAAGGGGACAAAGAGGAGCGCTTTGGGGCCAGGCAAGGCCGGTTTTAAAACTGTCTGCCTTGATTCATCACTCGATCTGGCACTCTCTCCCCTCTGTTTCCACACCATCCATCACGGGTACCATAACCAAGAAATCCAATAAAAACACAAAGGCCTAACTCTCCACTCTCAGCAGGCTTCAGAAAGGCTGTATTAGTGCCCCAGCCCAGGCAATTAGCTGAGTCCAAAGGACTGCGGAGCTGATGGGCATTAGCAATCCGGTGCCTGGTGCCTGGCTGCAGGCATTTGGGGAGCAGAGGAAGTGGGAAAGGAGACAGGCAAGGACTGATACAGCTCCAACTACAACTTGTCCCCCAAAGGTCTGGAGCAACCTAAATGATGAGCGAGGGTCAAGGTGGTCATTTCTGGGTCTATGTGACTCTGAAGGTTTGACTGCCATGGGCAAAATTTCATAAAAGAAAGCATTCTTCTTTTCCCCAACTCTGGACACCCCCTACCTGTGTTCAGCTTCCATGAACTTACTAAAGAAATGAACCGTGGGCTCTCTAGACCCTCCTATTCACTCTCGGAGAAGAATCTCCAGCCAGTTCAGCTCATTTATTACCATGTATTGGACATGTGCTCTCCTGGACCGAGGGGAGCCCATGTGAGCACATAGCTCCCTGACACTCCCCAACCGCACCACTCTGTATCATTCAAGCAAAGGTCATACAATAGCTTGTACCTCCTTCCCCCATTTCTGGTAGTGCATCTCCTGCCAGGACACGTGAAAGCTAGGCCCCATCCCTGCCCCAGGACTTGGCATTGAGCCCCGGGAGCAAGATAGGTAAGCATAGAACTTCGAGTTTACAAGCTCCATGGGTCCAGGACCAAGTTGGGTAGTGGGGTAGCTGAACTGAAATGACCTAAAATATTTTCCAAATCCAGTCACTTCTCAACTACCCTTGAGTGAACTGTCCATGACAACCCCAATCCTGCATGCCTCAGTGCATGGGATTTAACGCGACACAGGGGTGTGTGTGTGTGTGTGTCTAGGGGAGGGAGGGCAGGAGGAAGGGGGAGAGAGCTCACGTACACATGTGAGAGAGAATATGAATGTCTGTGGCCCATAACTAAATATAACTGAGTGGTTATTAAGTTCTTATCTACCATTTGGAATTCTCCCTATCTCTTCCCTCACCATGAACACTGGCATTCTGGTTGGACACAACTGAAAAATCATCATGCCTTGCACTGGGGATGGAGGTTCCCTGGACCTTTATAATAAGCCATCAGGTGCTTCTGTTTCTTTGTGACCCAGAGCTGGAGATGGGGAAAATTCACAGATCAGGCCCTGCCCCAGGAAGGGGAGGCCTTATGAGGCCATAGGACTTACCCTTGCAGACCACACTGTTCTCAGCCTCATAGCCAGGCTTGCACGTGCAGCGCCCAATGGGCACCATCCACTCTCCATCCCCGTTGCAGTAGAGTTTGATGGGCACGTCTACTTCCTCTGCGTTGGGGATGCATGTCCCCCGAGCAATCACCAGAGATGTACTCTCTGCCCCCGTCATGGTCTCTGGAAACACTGCAAAATTCTGCACAATGCTGGGACACTTCTTAAAGAAGACACGAACAGAAAGGAGAGACATACAGGCTCCATAATCCTGGAAAGCGAGGTAAAAACCATTCCGAGTCAGAGGCCCAAAGCTCCTGACTTCTGTATTGACCTTCATCAGCCTTCCCCCGAAGTCCACCTGGGAGAAGCTCTCATCTGCAGCAATGGTGTCTACTTTGAGGTAGGGGGCCTCAGACCAGAAGGCCGACTTCTTGGTGGCAATAACTGAGTCAGTCTCATAGTAGTACAAGTTGAAGGTCTCCTTACAGGAGCCTGGGACGTTGGGGAGGCTGCTGCAGTCTCTCACAGTGAAGCGCATCTCCGTGTAGATGCGGTGAGCCCCCCGCCGGTTGATGAAGGTGGTGAGGAGCCAGTTGTTTTGGTTGGGCTCGAAGACGTTGCACACCTGATAGGTGCGGATGGTGTTCAGGTTTTCATCGTAGCCACTGACTTCCTCCCACTGAACCAGGCAGACCACGGGTGCACACATGCAAAAACACGAAAGAGAGAGTAAGAAGACCAAGAAGAGAGGCAGAGCAGAGAAGCCTGGTGCTGGAGGGGGCCTTACGAGCTCACCAGCCCCGCTGCTTGACCTAAGACAGGAACACCCCAACCCTAACTTGCTTTTAAAGACCTCCTCATAAGCAGACTTCAAAGATTTCTCTGCTGGCCCCCCTGAAATATAATAGATTTCCCTCTAGAAAGCCTTCCTTCATCCAACCAACAGCACTCCTGCTGTGACTATGGCTCATTACGTCCACAGGGACAACCAGCATCTTCCCGCCCTAGGCGACAGCAGGGACTTGAGACCTCAGTGCCATGGCCTCTCCTCCCCACAGCCACCCCCGTGGATTAGGGGTCTGACTACAGGACACCCCTCACCCTGGAAATCTTCAGTTCAGAACCTCATTGCCTTTACTGTGGTGAAGCTCATTTAGAGTCATGAAAAGCATAAGAATATAAGGCTTTTCAGAATTTCTCAACAAACTGAGATTCTCATAAACTTTTGTTTTATAACATCAATCCCTTTGAAAGAGCTAGACCAGAAAACTTGTAGGAGTAGGGGCTACTAAGTGAGATCCTTAAGGAACAAATCAAGCTTCATTGTGTGCAAACTGCTAGCAGGGACCCAATGGAAGGAAATGCTGGAGGATATCACACAGGGAGGAAGGAGGGCTTCTTAGCAGAGGAGAGACAGCATGCTTGGAATTGGAAAAGAAAACTCATTTTTAGCAGCCCTCTAGGCAGGAAGGAGAAGAGAAACATTGCGTTTATTAAATGCTGTCTCTCCATCTTCCCTATAACATTGAAAACTGGATACTGTCACCCCCAATTTACAGATGAAAAGATACGCAATTCGCCCATGGTCACATGACCATAAGAGGAGACAGGATAGAGAGGAGATAGGAAGAAGTGCTTTGAATGGCCAAAGAAATGCTCCTACTAACTTATTTCAGTAACAGGTAATAAGGGGCAGGAGGTCCTTAAAGGCACGGCTTCCTTAACCAAGCCACTCAGCAGCAGGAGCCGGAGAAGAGTGACTGAGTCATTCTTTCTTCCTTGGGCTGGCAGAGGAAGCAGCTGCCCATCCTGGGGAGCTCTCAGGACCCTGACCTCAAGAACTGGGGGTATTCCCAGGAAGTTTCAATACGTTTGTTAAATTCCCTTCTGCTTGCCCGAAACAAATAAGGGACAGAAGAAATTGAGCTTCCTAAAATGAAAAGAAAAAATAAATTGAGATCCTTGATCTTAATATTTAGCAGTGGCAAAAAAAAAAAAAAATTATAGAAAATAGTACCCATTTCTCTAAATACTGTGCTAATTGCTTATTGTTCACAGTGTGGAGCTGAAATAGACAAACTAGAATTCTTCATTTAAAAAGTTGAAGTCAATCTTGTGTGCGTGGAAAATAGACACAGTTGCTTCTTGCACAGAATTAAGCCCCCTGTAGGAGCAGGAGGGCTAGGCTGTCTTTCAAGCTTATGCCAGAGCATCTGAAGACCAGGCATGGTGTGGAGGAAAAAATGGGCACACGGAGAGCTGTCCCTGCCCACCCAGCCCTGTAGAGTGACCTCACGGCCACTCCTGCTGCCCGGGCCCTGCCCCCGAAGCACCTGAGTAGCAGTCCATCCAAGGCCCTTCTCCCCCCACCGCTGCCAGCCCCCCAGGAAGGTCCCTTCCCCAGCCTGGAGTCCTGGGTGAGTTCCTTCCAGATCCTTGCACACTGCCAAACCTCACCTGGACTTTGCTTAATTTCTTATTGATTCTCTAGATGTCAACGAATCACTTTTTATTCCTTCTTAAAGATTGTGTTTTGTTCTATTTAAATGTGTTTGTTAAAGTTACCTTCTGCTTGCCTGGGTTTTTGGAACCAGAAGCAAATATATTAGGGAGAAGTTGCTGACAGTGGTTTTAGTTCAAATTTTCAGACCTTTCTCCCTTCCGTGGCCTCTTTGAAATAACATTTTTCTGGTGGACCCTACGTGACTTCGGAGGGAAGGATGGGTTTCTTCTGCTGTTCTGCAAGTGTTTAAACAGCAGACTCCCCGTCCATTACTTCAGCCGGGCTGTGTAAAGTCTCAGCATGAACACGGGGCGCCTTTGTCAAGGCACAGGTGAAGCCCGTGGCCCTATTTAGGACAGGAACCCATCCCAGCCAGAGTCCCTGACCCCCACTCAAGACTACTGCAGCTTCACTGTGTGGGAGCAGGACAGGAAGCCCGCCTTTCGGGGCTCACCTTAGCACTGAGACTGTCACCACCAGCGGGTCTTAAGTAGACAGAATGAGGCATTTCTACTCTGTGGAGCTAGGATATTGAGAACATTTATCTTAGAAAATGATGCTGATTGGTGTTATAAGACCCAACAGAGGTAATCGTTTCAAACATTAATCTCTCTGGGCCTCAGTTTTCTCATCTGTAAAATGAGGACTCATACTGGGTGACCCTGAGTTATAAAAATTCTGCACAGATTTAATTGATTCCATGACAGCTCCTAAGGGAGCGATCAAAGCAAATTAGGAGGAATACAGCTGTATATTCAAAGGAAAAGGGTGGAGAGAAATTGAGAGAAAGGAAAATAACTCCCTGATGTTTGGGGAAAGGCCGTGATAGAGTCTCACATTCATTTCTTTCTCTCTCTCATTCCCCTGCCAGCAGGTAAGACAGGGATTGGAAAAATAAACATGATCAGAGCGGGCTCAAGGAGGTATGAACGCCTTCCAGGCAAGTGGCAGTTAGGGGTGGGGGCCTTGAAGAAAGAGAGTATTTTGGCAAACAGAGTTGAGGGTGCAATGGCATTCCCAGCAGGGAGGGACAAACACTGCTATTTGTTTGTGATATTTGGAATCAGCCTCCTTGCTTTGGAGTTATACCTCATTCACTCATCAATGAAAAAAATATTTACCGAATGCCAACTTTATGCCAGGCGTTCTATTAGCCACTGGGGATACAACAATATGAAGCTTATAGTCTAGTGAGAGAAACAGAAATTAGACAAATGGTTATTAAAATAACTAAATAATGACAATTGGGCTAACTGCTGTGAGGGAATATTACAGGGTGCCAAGAGAGGGGGTGTACCTGATACACAGAGGAACGTCAAGGAAGACCCTCCAAACTATGGACGGATAGGAGTTAAGTCAGAAGTATGTGTCTGGAGGGGGCCAAGAGGAACAGAGAAGGAGTGCAGCATCGAGGCCCAGGAACAGCAAGTGCAAAGGCCCTGTGGTGGGACAATGTGTCCTGGTGCCATTGAGTAATGTCGTCTGTGTGGCACAAGAGTCATAAAAAGCTGCAGGTGCAGGAATAAGACTGAGGAGAGGATGAGTCTGGTCTAAAACTCTGAATTTCATACTGAGGGTAACTGGAAGTTACTAAAACTCATCAGTTTTAGTGAGGAGAAGTACAGGTGATCAGAACTGGGTTTTTAGATTTCTCTGATGTAGAAACTGGGTTGGAGGGCCACCCCAATGCACGGTCAGGACAACCGGATGTGCGTAGAGCGGTACCGGCCACCCATGACAGTAGGTTGGACGAGACCTGTGGAAACCGGAAGGACATCCTGGGGTAGAATCCCAAAGTTCTCATGGGCTGAGTGGGGGGGAGGGGTCAGAGAGAGACTTGACCAGACCACGGGTCATGCATCCCCACAATGGTCTTCAACGCATCAGTCCTACCTCCCCAACCACTTTGAGCTACTCTGTGTCCCCAGGCACGCTGCTTCCCAGCTCCCTACAAAAGAGGAGCCTTATCAGCGCCGGATATCCTACCCCCCCAGATGTGTAGCACCCAGATTCTTTCAGCCAAGGCCCGTGCTAGCCCTGGTCCCCAGGATGTACTCTCACTGCCTGTCCCAAAGCTGATTTCCTAAAGGTCTCTGTTCAGTGGCAGCTTCTCAGCCTCTCCTTCCAGGCATCTGACCTACGCCTCCTGTGTTCCTTTCTGTAATTGTTTCTTCCCATTAAAATGACAGCAAAGCACCATGATTTGCTTATCAGCTTGGCCAAAAATTGGAAAGATAAAATATCAAGTCTTGGTAAGAATCTAGAGCAAAGGGTATTCTCAAGCCTACCGGTGACGGTGTGACTGGTGAAATCTTTGAGAAGTCATATCAATAGTTTCTCTCAACATTTAAAATGTTGGCCACAACTCAGATCAGTAGGGAAAAGGTACATCATTTTAAGGGACGCCTGGGTGGCTCAGTCGTTGAGCGTCTGCCTTCAGCTCAGGTCATGATCCCAGGGTCCTGGGATCAAGTCCCGCATCGGGCTCCCTGCTCGGCGGGAAGCCTGCTTCTCCCTCCGTCTCTGCCCCTACCTCTGCTTGTGCTCATGCTCTCTCTCAAATAAATAAACAAAATCTTTAAAAAAAAAAAAAAAGAAATCATTATGATAACTGAGTAGCCATCTGGGAAAAAACAACTTTGCCTCCATACCTCATTCCTTACTTCAGGATAAATTCTTAGTGAATCAAAGGTTTAAACATTAAAAATGAAACCATAAAAATACTAAAAGAAACCATGGAGACAATTTATGTACAGTAATTATGACATGAAACTCAGAAGCCACAAATGAACAGATTGATCAATTCAACTCCATACAATTTTTTTAAGTGGCATAACAAAAATGGCCAGAAGTAAAATCAAAAGGAAAAAAAAAAAAACAACGGAAACATGCTGGGAAGGAACTATTTATAAACTTATCATGGATAAAGTATTAATTTCCCCTAATAATATAAAGATAATCTATATATCAATAATAAGATACAAAAATAGGCAAGGGATATTAACAAACTGCTCACTAAAAAAGAGATAGATGTAGCTTATAAACATATGAAAAGATATTGAACATTATTCAATATAACCAAAATGGTAATTAACTACATTGTGATACTTCTTTTTTTTTTTTGGTCGGACAGAAGTTTGATAATACACTGTGTTGGAGAAGGTGTGGAAAATAAGCACTCTGATACACAGCTAGATGAAGGGCAA